AGGGCACTGCCGAAGCGGCAGCGCAGGTGACTCATTAACGGCTGAGATATACACTCCAAACTGGACCCCAGGATCGTATTTCGCACACATTCATGGCACATCAGTTTCGTACAAGGACCTGCGGGTTGCATAATTTCATGCGAAATACGATACTGGGGTCCAGTTTCGAGGGTATATGTCAGGCGTTAGAGCACTAACTGAGTTGCCGATTTGGTGGCTTAGTTAGGATTCCAAAATTACTATTCACGTGAGATCCCCATGTGTCCAGACTTGCCTGGATGCCGCCTGTAAATAGAATTATGCTTAACCAGCAAATGATTGTGTTTATACAATGCTCATAAACCATAAGTGCGTCCTGATGCTTATTTCAAATCTTGAAGAATGTTATGGCGATGCGGCGATACCAACGTGGCGACGCATCTATTTCGCCGAAGACCCCGAAAGATCTTGGAAAACGAGATTTGCAATCTGATTCCAAATAAATGAACTGATTAGAGTTTAGGCGAGCTATCGCGATGCTGTACTTTCGGCGCGATATTGCGCTTATATTATAGAATTTCAAGGCGGTAGTGTTGGCACTGTATAACTAGGTGTGTCTTGACACTGATCTCAATTTTTTTCCTGTCTTTAGCGAATGTCTGAAGTAAGTTACAAACGTTTTTTCAAATAAAATCGAGACCCTTTCACTTAATCAAAAGTAAGAAAGTCGCTTGTACTTTTTGTTTCGCTCTTTGAAAAACATTTGACGAACAAATTAAGCTTGGATAATTAGTCTCACTCAGTAGCGTTCATCCTTAGAAGATGTCAGATATATCAATATTGCGTTTTAGACCGCAAGAATTCTGCGGAAGAAAGCTCGTAACCCATTCCAGGCAATCATTTAGCAAATAGCGAAAGCAGAGTTGTAATCGTTTTAAGACGCATTCAATGATTTGCTCCTCATTACGAACGGCCAAGGTCACCAGATATCCCTTCCTTTTAAGATTTTGGATTACTTCATTCTTACACAGTCCCACTTCTGGGAAGATAATAAGCTTTGAAAAAACCTTTTACATTGAGAGTTCAGCGCCCTTTACCTTTTCGCCACATAGCACGTGTTCAATCGCAAGAGGTGTTCAAACTTCAAAAAATTGAAAGGAGGACTACATGTCGCCGAAAGGATTGTTCTTACGCAAGCATCTGCAAACGACTACCCGTGCATATCACGGACATAATAGATTTGTACTAACTGTCCCTGTGGGGTGGAGCTCGGCGACATATAGGCCCGTAGTAAACCCCCATCAGGGCATCTCTCTTGAGGCGGAACGCAGTTGATCTCATCGCGCCTCAGCACATTGCCAGGGGACTGATTGATTTGGAGCAGATCACTTACTGGACGTTCGCGTTTTCAAAGGTGGAACGTTTCTACCTTTCTTGCATTAGTAGTCGAATGGATAAGATTAATGCGTTTCAGGCCACAGAGCCGTGGTTCGCGTGCGGCTAAGGACACCATTTTTGCTACTTGGCATGGCGACCTTTGATAGCGGCCGTTATCGAAAAATCGATGATAGCAGCTATCAAAGATCTTGCCTAGCAAACAACGATATAAAACAAATATACAATAATTTGGCATTCAAGAAGAAAAAACTTAGCGAAAAACGAATAAAAAGATCAATTTACCTCTTTGTCATCTGAAGCGGTTTTTCCGTAAAAAAGGTGTATCATCTGTAAGAAAAACGCAAAAAAAACCTTTTTTTTTCGATTCCGTCGCGCAATCAGCTGTTCATCAATCCTCTCTCACTTAGGCGCCCGAAATTGTGCAGTTTTGGGAGTTTCGCACCGCAAAAGAACGTGAGCTGCGATTTTCGTAAGTTACTCGGGAGCAACTTACGGAGATTTTCTCTGTGCTCTCTTCTTTAGCACAGTATTTACCTTATGTCGTCGCCCGGCTCATCTCCGATGACTCGGTCGGGAGCTGATCTCCCCGCCGGGGTTCATCTGAAGCTCACCTGTAGGGTGACCTTGCATACTTACACCACCGAAAAGTGGGCAGTCCTCATCTCACCCGACAAAGCCTCATATGAGCGCCTCAGGGGAGATCATCTCCCGTGACCGAGCTTTACTACGGGCCATAGTCCCCTACGCGCGGGGCTCGGCGGTGGCTTACGGGGCGAGCTGGATATCGTTTTAGGGCCGCATGCACTAACATCCCCGCGGGGAGGGGATCGCAGCTTAGAAGAAAGCTTTATATTTCGAAACTCCAGATACCTGGATTTCACGTTGTGTACCTATGCGTAAGTATTCCTACTACCCTTCACTGTGAACATGTTGAACAGGAGCCAGAAGCTGTACGAACCGCATTTTCCAGCTTTTGTATGATCCCTGATGATCCCTGGCGCTTTTCTTCAAAGTCATTTTTCTTTCTCCGAAGTTAACGAAGAATCTCCAGAGTTGTGCAGATTGTCTAACCCGACAGTGCTAAGCATGTTGCTGCTAAGAACAAATGATGTTTTGAAGTCATGAAATTTGCGATGATCCACAGGTCGAAATTTGAGGCTTACCGAAAAATTCGACTTTTCAAAAACTCATTTGTTCTCATCAGCAACATGCTTAGCAGTATTGTGTTAGATGTTCAGTACAACTTTGGAAGGTTTTCGTTAACTTCGGAGAAAGAAAAATGACTTCAAAGAAAAGCCTCGGGGATCATCAGGGATCATACAAAAGCTGGAAAATGCGGTTTGTACAGCTTCTCGCTCCTGTTCAATATGTTCATAGTGAAGGGTAGTAGGAATACTTACGGATAGGTAGACAGCGTGAAATCCAGATATCCGGAGCTTCAGAATATGAAGCTTTCTTCTGAAGCTGCGATCCCCTCCCCGCGGGGATAATAGTGCATGCGGCCCTTAGGGTAAAAAGCAAGGGGGATATCCTTTAAGCGGAAACCCAGCCCCCCCCCCCCCTCCTCCCATACCATCTTCTATAGAGGACTCAGATTGTTATTTCTGCCTGATCGATCCCATTACTGCAAAAACCAAAAATTTTTTGTTTTAACAGGCTCGCCGGTTGAGCGCGCGAATTCAAAAGCCTGCCCGAAACAAACAAAAGCCTTGTTTACATCGAAGAGAAATTGAATTGACGCCAAAATTGGTGTAGATGGGCAAAAGCGAGTTAGGACTTTGTGTGAAAAATCATGAAAAAATTATGTGGAAGGTATGACACTTTTTTTCGGAGTTAGGTGGCTTTCCAGCCACATGGACAGCCTCCTTAGGTGGCTGTGAAAAGAAGAAGTCATAGACTTCCCTTCATTCACATAATTTTCTCTTATGTTTAACGAAGCTTTGTTCTGCATCAGAAACTCTATAATTGAGTTTTCGAATCTCTGGAAACTCCCTCCTTCTCGCCTAGTTACAGCCCTCCAAGTATTTTCTATTGCTGCGGCAAGCCTGCTCCAAGCGCGCAATGGTACGCGCCGGACAGAACTTGCCGCCAAATTCGGAGAATACGAAGTTCTTTAGTTCTTTTCGTCTGTTCAATGCTGTTTTATTGTCTTGCTTCTTTTTTCTTGTTATTCAAGTTTGATCCATTCATGATCGCATTATAGGTGATGACGTATTTATGTAGCGAAGTCGGAGACTTCGTCTTTGAAAAGTTGAAAAAGCTACCTCATGCCGAGCCCTGCCTACGCGGAACTAGGAACTCTTTGATGTTGCTCACTTTCCAAAAAATCATACTATGAGAATCGGATCGGGGATGAGGAAGGAGGAGTCGTTTAGGAGAGCGTGAAAGGGAATGAAGGTCATGTTTTGAAGGACATGTATCTGGTCGGTCTCATGCTTAAGTTTGCTCTGGTCTCATAACGGACATATTCCTAATGGGAAATACCACTTCGCGGGAATGACCATAGGGCGTCGTCCAGTGAGCATAAATAGTCATTTTGTTTCTAGAACTCACAAAATAGAGGCCGAAAGCAACTTGATCTCTACTCATAGCCTTGACGACGTAGTAGACGACGTAAACCATCTATTTATATCTTAATAACACTTCCATTTTTGATCTTCACCTTAATATGTGTTGACGTCCTTTATGACGCCATCACGAAGTGTTCTTTCGACCAACACGCAGTGGTTGACAAATGATGATTGATGCTAATACCTCTCGCTTTTTGGAGGAGTGTTTTTATCTATAAAATTGTACCTGTTGCGCTTTTTAAAGGCGCCAGTACCTGCACTAGAGTGGAATTTCGAACCTGTAATTTGCGACCGTGCTGCTTTGCACATTTTAACTTCGAGTAACAATCTCGAGTAACATTTCAAACTACATGAATTTTGAGTTTGAATACATAGAAGTCTCGTTCATTCATCAGAAGAAGATTTATGCTCAGAACAGTTTCTTATATCTGGGCACCTATAACGTAGCAAATGCCCTAACATGTTTAGAACATGAAAGAAAGGGCTTCGATCTTCTGATGGCCTTCAAGATATAGAATAATTGCAAGATTAAACCTATTCTTCAACTCCCATTTCCATTAATTTGCGATGCTCTATAATGAAAGTAAAGTTAATAACCCGTTTAAAATTCCAATGAAGATAAAGACAGTAAGCTTTATACGATTCCAAGTATGGTGTGAATGATTATAAAGTTGAACAGGATTCAACAAGCCAATTCAAACTGTGTCATTTTTTGACGACACACTTTTTCTTCCATTGTAAAACTCAAAGCTATAAAAGCAAGGCATGCAGCTTGATATTATACAGGAAACCTGCTTTTTACCCGTTACCGACGGTGATCAGACCTAATCAAAGTGGACATTTTTCAGAATTCGCGCAGCAAAAATGCGAGTGATGTCTTGTTGTGTTCGATCAGCAGACAACAAGTGGGTGGGACATAAAACGCTCACTGCTGTTAGATGGATTGACCAAGTTTTTGGTGTTAACCTAATTTGTCTGCTTCGACCATCTACTCACTTATATTCTCATAAACTTACTACCTCACCTCTTATTGGCTTTGCTGCCTAACTCACAATGGCGCAAGAAAAAACGATTAAGAAAGGATTCTTGAGGAAGTACATTTGGGAAGGTTAGAATAATTATATCGATCACAGTCATAGGCTTTAAATTGCATTTAGGCCAATACCTGGATGAAAGTAGAACATCTCCCGAGTTGTCCCAAGATGCAGATTTTCTTGATATAGCCCTTACCAAATATCGAAAGTATGTTGCGCTTTTGATTCCAGTCGTGGTGATGCAGGTAAAAAATTTTTGCAAATGTGCTTTACGTAACCATAAAAAGTAGACATTTTTTAGACATTTTGGTGGCTGACTGCAATTCGACATGATTGGCTTTCCCTATATCTCACTCATTGGCAACTGCCCGTCGTGATGATCTTGGGGGCTATGGTTGCTGGTAAGATTTTGTTTTTTTGTTTTTGTTTTTGCACGCTTTTCACTACGCTAACTTTTCCAACGCGATTCACTGAACCGTATCTTATGTTATTATGCGCTTAGCCTAATAAGGCGAAAGTTTGCTGATGTTGAGATAAGAGTGTATATTTGTTAGCCTTGTCCTAGCATCATATCACCTTGTGATGACTGCAAAACAGTGTTACAGTATCTTGCTTGTGCTAGTTACTCGAAATATAAGGGGCACTAAAACAGGAAAGAGTGTAAAATATTGGAAATTTTTACAAAATGTGACAATACCAAGTCATTACATCATTAATTTTTCGTCTTCTGTTCAACCGAGGCTTGGGAGAATCAGTTTCTTAGACCACGAGCAAATGCAAAAATTTATAGACACTACGGTTCTTTTCCTTGCTGTAATCACCGTCGACTATTTATAAAGTAAATTTCGAGGCGTTCAGAGCTCTCCTGTGATGCTAATTTTTTTGAATACAAGACTTCATTCAATAGAAATCAACGAATCATCTTTTCCTCGCTTCAAAAATCTAGATAGGTGTTTTTCGCACTTGAGCGGATAGCGCTAAGTCAGCGGGCAAAGCGGCTACTCGTTTTGCTTGCAAATCTTTCAAACTTTATCCGTAATTATGATGCGGTTAACTTGAACTTTTGGAAAACTTTGAGGCCCCTGCTCTCAAAAATTCGGACTTCAAGGTTCCTGATTTTTTTCTTGATTGAAAATTTTGATCATACAATTTGAAACAAGCTGAAAGTTGATTTAAACACTCTTATTCACATTTCCGGATGTTTGCAAATATTTGGAGCATATTAAGATGCCAACAATACACGACATCGGATAATGCATAGCTTTCCGTTATAAGCCAGTGATCAACAATCTCAAGATTTTGATGTTTCTTCCACAAATTTTTACCGTAAAATCCTCAACTTTCTAGTTACGACCGGCTTCAAATATGCTTTGTTTTCAGAAAATATTATCTCATATTGAACTATTACATGAATCATTTTATCTCTGATAAAACAAAATGTTGAAAATCGAGAACACTGGTTATGGCCAGGGCTCGGCACAGGTGGCTTACAAGCAAGCTGGATATCGTTTTCGGGACGAAAAGCAAAGGGGGTTTCGTTTTTGTGAGCGAAGACATACGGAAAATTGACGACGGCGACCTTTTTTTTAGTCGACGTTTCGTTTTTTGGGGGATTTTCGGGAATTTTTCAGGTTTTTAGAAGAAATTTGGTTCAGGGTCAAAGGGGACTTCGCAAAAATTCCCAAAAGTCAAGGGGGACTTCGTTTTTTCCATTTTCATCTAGCCACCTCGTGCCGAGCCCTGGTTATGGCTGTGACAATGGCGGAACGATTTTTTCAATTTTGGTGGATAATTTTTTGTGAAAAAAATCACACTTGGCTATCCTTCGGAGCGCTCACAATGGTAAGAATACCAGCGAGCAGCTTTGTATCCATTGTTTCAAGATGATAGTCTGAAGAGAAATTGATTTCTAGAGTATGTGGATGCAGTCTGTCAGAATTGATTCTTATAATACCTTACACCTTTGGTGAAAAAAGATAGCAATGACGGGCGACAGATGCTACGCCAAGGTTGTGATCATAGTACATAACACAAGCACGCCAGTCACGCTCAAGATACCTGTTTGACTATGAAATTTCAGACTGTCAGAGAAGAAATTTAGATAGTTTTGAAAGTGAAACAACTCTATTTTTGAACTAAGGGCTGCTTTTGGATATGATGGTGCTGACCAGTGCACTGCAGAAGATAAGGATTTGCTATATCACTATTGCTTTTTGAAATCTAGCTCAACGATAAAAAATTTTTCAAAATACAGCGTGCTTGTATTCTTTTTGTAAATTATTTTAGCACTGTTGTGTGCTTTATCTACCCAATAGAATTCAAAAATTTTCGCGCAATGATATTACCAAAATGGTCTTTTCACTATTTAACTATCTCTATTAACCAGTGGCGTACCGAGGGAGAGAGGGCGGAATGGGTCGCGAAATTTTTGAAGTTACCTAAATGAGTTATGAAAATGTGCAAGTGACTTGTTTATACTTGTTTTTAAAAATTCATTTTGGCCTTATAAAAATTTTTTTTCGAGGGCGCGACTAACGCTACGCCCCTTTTATCTGGAATCTCGGTATGGGCTCGCGAAAATTTTAGGAAGGATACCAAAAAAATTTTCGGAGTGCCCTTCAACAGAAAAAAGTTTTTGCTTCCCCCCCCCCCCCCTCCCCCCCTGCCCGCGAGCGAAATCCTGGGCGTCACTGCGATTAACAAATGTCTAAGTGATCTAATCTATTAATGTACTATTCGAGTTATATCAAATATGAGACTCTATCTTCAGAACAGAACGTCCTAACGTTTTTTGAATAATTTAATTTATTTTTGGCACCTTGAGACTAGTTAGCTTATGATCAAGAAGTTTTGGAGAAAAAATCGTGTACGAACCATAATCTAACAGTGATCTACAAAGAATCATTGCATCTTTCCGGTCCTTTAGTATTTCCGGAGGATCCTATGGTGCTGAACATTGTTGCGCAGACCATTAATCATTCCGGAGATCCGAACTTCTAACCCTTTCAGCCAATAAAGCGCGTTAGCAGCGCACACAGCAACTGCGCCAAGCGCCAACATAGCATAACTATCTCAAATATACATCTCTTCAGGAATGACATCCGAAGGAGGTGGTGCAGTGGCATTTCCTGTCATGACAATCGGGTTGAAGATTGCACCCCATGTTGCCAGAGACTTTTCTTTGATCATACAATCTATAGGTAAAGAAAAAAAACTTACCTCATTAACTTATAAACTTTCTCTAGGGATGAGTTGTGCATTATTTGTTATCATCTTCATGAATGTGCAGATCGAAAGAAGAGCTGTAATTTTTGGTACGATTGGCTCGGTACCTGGATTCGTCTTCGGATCTGTGGCGGTAAGTTATCACAAATATCACCATAATTTAATTATCTTACTTCCCTTCTCTTCTGTTAGCCAAAAAATTGTTGGAAAGTCAAGTAAAGCAGTCAATTTAAATTTAACGGCATGTATTTGTTTGATGATTCTACATTGATTTAAAGATTCCACTCATCCTATATGTTAACAGTACAAGAATGTAAATCCATATGTTTTTTTTCTATTAGGTTGGCTAATAAATAAGTTTGGTCGCTTTTGCGGCTCCTACATATGCTGCAGACAAATTTTTGTCTGGTCTTTGGTATATCTGAAAAGAACACTTAAACGGAAATTGTAGTACAAATTTTGTTTGAGTAGAACTTATCTTCCAAAAAAAGAATTGAGAAGCCCCAATTTTCCCATAGTGCGCAATTACGGGGAATTTTGGCTGATAATAGATTTTCATGGTAACAAATCACAATTTTCATTGTTGTTCGCTAAATAAGGAAAACTTCCCTGTATCCAAATACCGAACTGCTGTTCTCTTCATTCATTAAAGCATGAAAACGAAGCTTAGGAAGTCAGAGAATTAAGCTTTTAGAAATTTAGCCATGGTGAGGCATAACCGTCTTTAGAGATGATAAAAAATTCTAAGTATTTGATATGTGATAGAGGAAGCTTCGATCTACTTCCCCACAAAAACCCATGGTAAGGAAACGACAAGAAACATTTTAATGAAGATTTGCATGTCAAAACGAACTTATTTTTTAGCCAATCTAATACTTACATGGTCGATTTCTTTAGGTAGCCCTCATATTTCGCGATTTCATCTCATGAATGAGAGCAAAATTTGCTCTAAAAATGATTTAGATAGACTCCTACCTCACACCACCTCAAAAGAAAATGCTGTTTGTCTCTATATGGTCATCGTTCGCTATCGCATTGTGGATGTTGAACGGTCGCTTACATCGGAAGACATATTTGACAATTCCTGCATTCACAACATGGAAAGCATTGGTGCTGATATGCACAGGCTTTGTCGGAGGTATAGTAAGGTCATGCTATTTTGGTCTCTGCGTTCCTCTTTTATAAATTTTGACCGCGTGGTGCAAAACAGTCGATTTGTAAATTATAACACTTTTTATGGCTCAATTTAGGCATTTTCACTGCCTTCACCGGGTCTGGAGTTGACATCTGCATTTTCTCAATAATCACACTTTTGTTTCGAGTTACTGAAAAAACGGCTACACCCACTACTGTGGTTCTCATGGGTACGCATCTTGCCTCCAGACCCATACAAAATCATCATCTTCTCGTACAGGTCTCAACTCCGTTATCGGTGTTTACTATCGTTCAGTATGGGTAGGAGACATCTCACCCTTAGCACTTAATTATATTAAGTGCTCCGTGCCAGTAGCAGTGACATTAGCTCCATTGGGTAGCTTTTTAGGATCTCACTTCCATCGTAAGGTAATTCCTGTTAGGCGAGGTAAACTATACGTTCTTTTATATATCTTAGGTGCTAGCGACTTTCATTTACATACTGGAAACTCTAGCTGTGATAGGTTTTCTTTTCACGAGACCTCCACCACAATTAGGTTCATTCAGTTCAGATATGCTACAAGGTCAAAATTATCACATTTTATTTCAGTGCTAATAGGAGCTTGCATAATTGCTGTTGGATTTGTTTTCTTCACTCTCATAACTAAAGCAGGAGCAAAAATAATGGAAGGAGTTGAGGTAAGCCCTCGCTTAAATCGCTAGCTTTGTAACTCTCCAGAATTTTTGGAAAGCTTCCCAATTTTCTCCCAGTTTTAACCCTTGAGTGGGAAAAAGGGTCGTGTTGAAAGCCGGCCCAAATAAGGAATCTGAAAAGCATTTTAATGATCTATAAGTAAAAACAAGTAACTTTTGGATCAACTGGCTTGGCAGCTGGAAGGCGGGGCTTTGACCTGACTAAGGCCGCTCGCGCCCGCTACGCAGTCTGCGTCTCTCCCGCGCGCGTGATCTCTGATCATCTTAGCCTTAAATAGGTCACGAAGCCCCGCCTTTCAGCCGTTGCGAGTGAAATCAAAAGTACATTGTGCTATTTTGTCACCCAACCACTCAAAGATAAAATTTGCGAATTACACTTAGGGCCGGACCCGTCCCTCTCCCCGTTTCTTTGACTTTTTCTTGAGCGGGTCCGTGGTGTCTAAAAACCATGTTTATATTCGACAATGTAAGCTTTCTGTAGTTTTCGCTTACCTCTCGTCCTCTGTCGCAGCAAGGAATCCTCGCACTTTTTGTCAAACCTGATCAATTTTCCAGGAATCGAGAAAAAATGTCACTGACAAGGATGTGATGCTAGGAGTACAAGAAGTATAACACGAGCGGATTGTGTGGTTTCGAATGTGATCTTCATCTCTACTTCACATTGGCTTTGTACAAATGTGTATAATGCATTATCATGTACTTCAATTATACGGAAATAAATAAGCATCTTTAGTAAGTCAAAATAAAAGTCAGAATTGTACAAAATCTACAAAATTTGTCGCAGATAAGTTTTACATTCAAAATGAGCAGTAAATATTATGAACAAACAAACAATGAGCAATTTGGTTACAAGGATACACTTCGCTTCGTTTCTTTTCAAGATTAACTTGAACCATCTGCTGCTGTTGGTGCCTTTGTATCATCACTTCGTTTCTTCAGAAAACTGTCCAACTGCTGCCTGGCCTGCAAAACACATTGAGAAATGTGAGGAAACATCTTTGAGCGAGAAAAAAATAAGAGAGAAAGAAAATGCAGCTCTTGAAGGCGGAGATTCATTATAGCTATGAATGTAGGTGATTACTCATCAAGCAAAGAGTATCTCTCAGAAGCGAAGAAGCTTTATTTCGGGTCCTGGAAATCTTTCAAGACAGACGCTACCACATTTTGAAAATTTGAGAAGCTTTCTTTCCTGTTCCGTCTTATCTACAAAGAAACCCAAATGATAATAAATGTATTCGATGCCAAAGCTCGAACATCCAAACCGATTACGATAGGAAACCCGTAACATCATGAAAAATGTTTGAAATTATGCACCGAAAAAGAGCTGGTTTCGGGCTTTTCCATTCATTCCCCTCTTGTCATTGAGTATTCCAATGACAAGAAGAATTCCTTAGCCGAAGTAGCTTTTTTAAAAGAGACGCACATTTTTAACCCATTGACGACGAGGTGGACCACCAGTCGCCCACTCACTTTTTGCTCCCAGGAACAATGTGGACCACCGGTGGCGCACACCTCTTGCAAAGTGATAGCATTTGTACGTCTAGTATTTTTTCCACACATCAAATTATCAAATTTTTTGTACTCTTCGGACCTGTGGGCTCCGTCGTTCAAGAAAACGTTTGTAGTTGTTTACAAAATACCTTGTATTTCGTAAATAACCACAAAACCTTTCCAAACCGAAAGTGTTGTGCAAAATCGCGTCGTCTCACAGCTTCGCCAAGCAAAATTAGACGTCTTCGGCATGGGTTAAAAAGGATATCAAAGATGAATTCTTATCTTTTTCTTATCTGCGAAACGCGTCTGGGCAAGGAGATATGAAAACTTTCGTAAAAATTTGAACGCATAGATAGAGAGAACCCTACATCAGTCCCTTATCAGCTCAAATGGAAAAATGGTGATCGTCAAATCTCTTCATGAAGAGAAAATGTCCTGCTTGCTACCCAGGTTACTCTATTATTCCAACTGCAAGTTGGAAAGGATGTCACCATTGATTTTTTTAGATGTGCTTTCACTCATAAAACGTTCACAACTTGTCATTAAAGGCGCCCCAAAGTTGAAAAATTCAGTGTTCAATGTGCTTCAAGAATGCGTGCACCTCGACTGAAGAGGACACTTTGACCAAGGATTCTTCCCCTATAGGTAACTTTCACTACATGACCTGTGTACGAATGTTATGAAATTCCTGCAAACTTTGCATTTTCTGAAACAATGAAACTGTTTAAAAAAAATTCCACGCTCTAAATTAACCACTGAGTTTCTTCTATCTAGAACTACACCAGAATTCTTTCATTTCTGCCGCCCTCATCAAAGATTGTCTCTTCTTGAAGTACAGATTAAGTCTCTTTTTCGATCATCACAAGTGATCACGGAAAAAAAGGGTAATCATTCAAAGAAAAAGTGGAACAGGTGTTGCTGTGCGCGACAATTTATTTGCATTGAGGAAAAAGTAAAGAGAAATTAAGACGAAATATTGAGTGGTATATGCCGTGACACAAAAGAAAGATAGAGAACACACTCTGTGCTGTGTCTTGAACCCACATCGTATTCCGCGTGAAGTTTTAGACTGAAATCTAATAGCAGTCAAAGACGAACTTTACCTGAAGAAGTTGTATCTACGCCCCAAAAAATTTCAAAAATTCCCCATTTATCCTGACACATATGCTTAACACATCGAACATTAGATTATACACTTTCTGTATTTTTTCCATGGATAGAAATTAAGAAAAAAATGAATGAAGCAAAATAGCAAGCTCCGCCCCTAGACTTCCTAAGCTCCCTCCACGCCCATGATCACATAGCTCATACATACAGAAGTACGATCATGTATCTATTTGTACCCCTTGTAGATGTCCCAGTTCGCGAGAAATGCTGTTTACGGTAAAAACTGTAGAAATTCATGGGACATCCTAACAGATTATAATCCTTGGTAGTCTTCGACGTTTCCGGGTATAGTTCGGGCAGACGTAGTACGTCAAAAATTGATTTTTGAGGCTTAGTAGGATTGTATTTTTATCCTCATTCAGATAAGGCTTTGAATTATTGTTGAATTTGAGCTTAAGCAGAAAAGGCTATTCCGTCTTTGGATTAAAAATGACCCAAGAGTTAAATCTAAACAGCTCGACTTGTTGAAAAAACCTTGATCAGAGAAATGACAACAATTATTAATAAACTGCATTGAGACTCAAACTTGAGTTAAATCTCATCTTCTCTGATTAGATGAGGAGAGCAAGTGTCGGAGCATATTTTAACTAGCAATCAATCGTAACAATTACGCACTGATTTTTACCCCGGCATTGTCGTCCTCGTTTTTTCGACTATGAACAGGGTACCGTTTGACGGGAGAGTGATCGATTGTACTGTACTGGGGACCATGCTGAAACGTAAATAAAGTGCTAAAGTTTCCAAAAAAGTTCTAATTTCTCTATGTATGCTAATGGCAAAAAGTTTAGCTGCTTTGGAGGAATGTAGCATTAGTGTCCTCTTAAAAAAGCTTGTGCTGTTAAAATTTACGAAAATGTGTTCCAAATAATTGAGATATCAGATTTTCTCGGATGTTCAGTAGTTTTCCTAAAGACTATAAGGCCTTAAGAAAGCTACTAACATTATGCTGAACTTGGTCCGAAGGACCGAAACAGCAAGCACTAAACAGAATAAAAGGTCCTAGCTCCGGGACACTTGGGTTACGGAAATAAATTATGTTATATGCAGAAAATATTGCTCAAAGTTTTGTGCAACAATGCACTACTCCTTTATATATCGCTTCCATTGATAGAAATGCTCAAAGGTCTCTAAGCAGTGGCGCTCCCAGGATTTTCGTCCCGGGGGGGGGGGAGACTCGAATGATGCGTGGTGTTAGAAATGCATTTCGAAAATTTTTCTAAGATACATGCCTAAATTTTTGCTGGCCCATGACCCCGCAATTTTAAAAAAGGGGGCGCTGCCGCCATGCCCCGGGGGAATCTTTCTACAAGGCTAATTTTTGAAATTTCAAGATCTAAATTCAAATTATTCACAAGTATCAGGTTGTCCCATAAGTCTTTTCATTTTTGAGTGTTCGCTGTAATAAGTCAGCCACTTCTTATTCTAAATAGATATCAGGATACCGTTCGATAGAGCAAAGCAAGCTCTATAAGATGGCGTTTATGATTTTACAAAAGCTTCGGCCCATCTTAAGTTTTAAACCAAAATCTAAAAAGTTTTGGATGCCCAGAAAACTGAATCTATTTTATATCTTCGTTCAAAAAAATCCTACAGACCTCTCACTCGCTCACGCGTATACATTCCATATCTGATATTCATATGTGCTGTTGCTGTATTCTTTTATCAGCTAGAAATCAAGAAACCGAGAATCATGTTTTTACCTGATGTTGGGCTGTTCCTACACTAATTGTCGTATACTACGAGCCCTCAGAAGCACAATCGTAAATTTTTAGCTCTATAAAAGCTTTGGTTTCCGAGAAAATTCGAGTTAAGCGTGAAAAACTTGAGTGAGGAAGCTAAGTTCGATATTCCTCAGGAGCTAGTGCCTATAAGAGCTGAAAATTTGCGATTGTACTTCTAAGGGCTCCTAGTATACGATTGTTAGTATAGGAAGAGCATAGCTTCACTTTGGTAATAACATTAACATGGAAATCTTCGGTTACTTGATTTCTAGCTAGTAAAAAAAAAGACAGTGGGGACGATAGGCCTAGTGGTATGAGGCGCCGGTATGACCAGATCGGACGCAGGTTCGACTCCCGTCCCTGGACCAATCAAGCCCTCTACCGGGGCTGGTAAATTGGTACCAGAGTAATCTCGGAGGATGAAGCACTGAATTGGTAAACGGCTGGCCCCCGAAAGTCACTGTAATAGGCTCGCACGCATACAACTGCCTCTTCGACTATGAAACAATGTGCGTTCCGCATGCCCGCAGAGGGTGTTGAAGACGCCGATTCCTTTATCCTTTTGAAAAGAGACAGCAACCGCACATATGAATGTCAGATGTGGAATGTATATGCGTGAGAGAGTGAGAGATCCGTAGGACTTTTTAAACGAAGACATAAAATTTTTTGATTTTTTTGGGCATCCGAAACATTTTAGGTTTTTGCTTAAAACTTGGGGTGGACCGGAGCTTGTGCAAAAGCATAAATGCCATCTTATAGAGCTTGCTTTGCTCTATCAAATGGGCTCCTGACGTCTATGTACAATATGAAGTGTGTGACTTATTATAGCGAAAACTCAAAAATGAAAAGACTTATGGGACAACCCAATATAAGCAAATTATTTGCACATTCTTACAAGCCATGCAAATGACTGAAAGTTTCGCGACCCATTCTCGAATGGGGGTGGCGGTCCCTCCCTTCCCCCTCGGTCCGCCAGCCACTTCTTCATGATTTATTCTTGGGCAAACTTCATTCCTACAAGTATCTTAAGAGTTATTTTTGATTGATTTATGACTCTGGAGGAGTGGATGGCTGACAGCGTTTAAGCGACAGAAATAGACCATGGCTCCAAGTGCACGTTACCACGCAACACATGGTGTACCACAAGAACTTCAATAAAAAAAAACTCGTGGTCCTAAATGACGAGTAGCAGATGTTGGAAAGCATGTCAGCGTATTAAAAGTGAGTCTTGATGCACTTCCAAACAGCTGTCTTTGATATGAATTAGCAAACAAAGCACTATATCTTAGCACAATATCTTGTTGCTGCTGTGCCCGTCGCCATTTTTCAACTCGAAGATTGCGTCTGGGCAATGTAAAAAATTCATTGTCATTCCTGAATCTTGGTTTCTTCAGTCATTTTTGACAACCACAGAGTTACAAGCGCGTAAAAATGTCAAAAAGAGAAAACTTGTTCTACGCAAAGACTCCGAATGACTATTATAAATTGCGTCTCGGCGACACAGCTGCGGTGCTCACTGTATGTCAGATTTTTATAGCCTATTTGGACTACTTAGCTAAATTTCGAAACAGTGAAGCTTTTTTGTCACGGATTCAGAGGAATCATCTAAATCGCATCGAATGTACTACGTATTGCTTCAGATATCACTTAAGAAATTCTCAGTTTTGAGCTGGATTATTGCGATTATTTCTTATCAGCTTTTGCTCATACTTCTAGAAGGAGCATGTTACTTCTTTTTCAGCGTATTCTCGCTCTCAAAATTATTCAAATTTGAAAAGAAAGAATTTTTGCAACCAAAAGCAAACTCTGTGATAAATGCACATCATTTTCTGTTCGGGATGGATTTGGTTAACAACTTCGTTGTAGAAAACAAAGCATGACACTTCTAAAATCTCCAAAAAATTAGTATGCACATATTGCGGAGATCCAATGATAACACTCGAATTTTAATGCAAGTTGGTTTGCAAAACGACAGCCTTAGAGCCCTCGTTCAAGAATTAGTGTGCATGACCCACTGATTCTGTAGAAGTTTTCATGTGCCTTCATAGAGATGCAGTTTTTTGGAAACCAGAACGGTACACCAAAATCGACCTTGTAAAGTTTGGTTGACACAATTTATTCTTCTTGCTGCGACTTACTGCTTCTGCTAGCGCTCTTTGCAAGTCAACATAAATTTTGCTCAACTACTAGGTTGGCTAAAAATAAGTTCATTTTGGCACGTAATATTTCATAGAAAATTTTGTGTTGTTTTCTATCCATTTTTAAAGAAACTAGTTTGTAGCTTCTTCTACCACATACAAAATATTCAATATTTTCTATCATCGGTAAAGACAGCTATCTTCAACATTTTCAAAAGCTCAATACTTTGACATCCTAATCTTCGCTTTTACGATGTAATGGATGTATTGAACAGCAGTTTGGTTTTTGGATACAGAGTACTTTTTCTTATTTAGTTAATAATGATGAAAGCTGTGATTTGACTTTTTGAAAATCTTTTAACAAAAAAACCAGATTCCTCATATTTTGCATCATGAGAAAATTGGGGTTTTTCAGTTCTTTGTGGATTTTTCTCCTTGGAAGATGAGTCCTACCAAACAAAATTTATCCAATTCCTATCGGAATGCTCTTTCCAGAGATACCAAACACTAGAAAAATCTGTCTGCATAATTTGTGAGAGGCACCAATATCGAACTTAACTATTAGCCAACCTATAATAATGGTATGTTATTTCTTATCATCTAGATTTCATCGCCATTATTAAGCCTTGCATTGTAAGACAGCAATCTTCATTTAGATTCCGTCCGATCGGATCTTATCCGAAATAAATCGAGTTTACTTTCGAAAACGGGAATAAAAGCAGCATCATTATGATATAAGAAAAGGGATAAATAAACGAAAATTTCCATAGGGAGCGTAATTACAAGCGTGCTTCCGAAAAAATTGTGAAACCATTTTCAACTTTTCTGATTGAAGGTAAACCACTACGTAATATCGCGACTTTCATGGGCAGTAGAAAGTCTTTATGAAGATTACTGATTTAGAAATCTGTAAATACCCCTCTTTCCACAAATCTCTGGAGTTGGACTTTGAAGGAATTTTGAGTACTGCCCAAGAATGATGTAAAGGACGCGAAGCCAACTATATACAGGTGTTCCAAAAAATCTGCACACTGTATGATCTTTATTAACTTTGTCTTGTTTCATCTTACCCAGATATTTTGGTACGAACTTAGATTTTTATCATAGACGAAATAATCGAACCCTCTTTGCTACTGTCTATTTACTAGAAAATTCAAAATTTGAACAATTGTAAAGCAGGGTTTCGCACATGTTTTCACTAAACCACTTTTCACGAGTCGTCAAGGCTTTTCTGATGGTGTAAACACATTTATCACGAACAGTAGAAAAGCATTTGTTTCGGTCTGACTACAGCAACGAGCAAAGATATTACAGTAAAGTGCAAATCTCGTAATCGAAATCATCGACTTTGACTAGCCTAGTAAAAGACTTTTTGGGTTTTTTCGTTTTCTTTCTGAAGCAAAATATGGCTCTTGATTGTTTGAAATCCTTTTCAAAATTCCCATGATCTACAGTAATGAAAAGAGATCGGTGATTCTTTCCATATTAAGAATCTAGGCTAAATCTCGCTCTTAGAATGATACCCATAATTGGCCGAAAGACTTATAGCAAGAGTAGCATTAACGCTCACAATGTGCACATTTGGAAAACTCTGTATATCAAGTATTGTGCTTTTCAAAATAACTTTGAGGTAAATGCATTAGTGTAAAGGCCAATATGGATAGGAAGGCAAGTCTATGCTTTTTTTTTTTGAAGAAACAAGAACTCATGGTTTTACGAGATTATAGCAGGACATCTACGATGAATGCAAGAGACTGAACTGAATCTATTTGGACTGACTTACCTTTTCAGCTTCAGCTTTTGCGACTGCTGCCTCCATCGCTGCTGCTTGTAACTGCGTCTTCAAGTCGGAGATTTGTTGAAGTTTTTCCATTTGTTGCTGACTGAATCGCTAAAAAAAGTTCTATAAAACTATGAAAGAGCTCAGTGTGAAAATGGAACCGCACCTCGGACATGGTCACTGGAAGTGCGAATGAGACAGGAACTGAGCACTTTCAGAGGCTCGGAGTACTTGAACGAACGACTGGCTAGTCTATCAATAGCTGTTACACATGCGATAACTTTTAGAAAAACAAATCTCCTCCGGTTTGTGCCATAGGGCACGTTCACGCATCGATTCAACGGCCAATCAGCTGGGAGAGCCATTCGCTTGGCTGCGATGTTCTTGGGTGATAAAATATCCAAATTGTTTAGAAAGGTGCTGAGGAAGTTTTAGTTGACATAAAATCTGTCATATAAATTCTAGGATACCTTGACATGTCCACTTTAAATTGCCTACACTTCTTTCATGGACGAGAAAATTCGAGTGTTTTACGAATGATTTTAACATTTCCAGTTCGTACCCAAAAAATCAGGACTCGGCAAGGTGGCTTGTAAGCAAACGATTTATCGTTTTTGAAACAATAAACAAAGGGGATATCGTTGTGGGCCGAAAAACACAAGTAAGATTAGGTTGTTTTATCAATCGACGTTCCAGTTTCTTAAGATTTTTTACTTGGTTTGGATAAGGGTCGAAGGGACTGCGTGGAAATTTGTCAGGGGGAGTCATTTTTTGCATTTTCGGAAAACCACCTCGTGCCGAGCTCTGCAGAGTGATGCTGAACTTTACTACTCTTCTTCATCATTATTCGAAGCTATCAAACCATCAAAATTATATTCGTAACTCATTACCAGATATGCTCTGCTTTCGACTTTATTAGCGTTAAAAATAGCAGAGTTATGATTTGCTGAGCAAGGCTTCAAATAAGTAAGAGCCAGAAATCTCAAAAACATTTAAAAAAAGACCGTTTCGGTAAATGAGAACTTTCTTGCAATTCACATGATTCAACTTTCACGCTCGAAACTGAATTGCTCCTCAAATTTTGAGAAGGCCTGCAAAAGCCTTAGTTTTCAAAACAGATTTTGGTTTCTATGAGCGTGAGCCTTTCTTTACAAGAAAAATAAGAACCACGGAGATTAGTTAAGAATGATGTGGCGGGTATCCAAAGTGGAAGGAAGTTTGGTGACAATATCAAGTGCTGCTCTAAGAATCATGTAATCTGTCAGCGAACACAACCTTTGAATATTTAACAATCTTCTTAAAGTCTTCAAAAATTGAGTGAAATGTGCTACGGCTTCAGTTAAACCGCAACAACATCGTTAAATCACGCCTTTTAAGGTATTTATGTTAGAGGATTTCTGCTTTTAACATTCTATTCCTCTCTTGATTTCCATTCTGAGTCCATTTTTATCTTGCCTTATTCATTATTCTATGAATCACTACTGCACAATCACTCTAACGGAGCTGGGTTTTCAAAGGAACGAGTGTACTTGAGATACCTTGAGTGATCGCAAGGAGTTTACAATTCAGTCTTTGATCGAATTCTCTCAGCAAGTCAACCTGCTGACTTCTGCTCCTTCAGAGCTTATTTTGAGCTCAAATTTTCAGAAAATCGAAGAATTTTGGTATGGTATTATTGGGTATTATTTTACGCCTCAACCCCCACTTCTCTTTCTTCCAAATTACTATGGAATGACAATCTACTAACGAGAGCCATACTGAAAGGAAGGATGTGTACATGGCTTAGGCAATATGTGAACACCAAGTAACAATATATGTGATTTTGAAAGGATTCAGCTCCATATACATAAAAACCACCTCTATAAACCAACGATAAGACGGAAGTATTAATCCTTGACTGAAAAACAAGGGTTAACAATGCAGGCATAAACTATCGAAAAATGCTGAAGACCACCTAGAACACTTCGGATTGAAAAAAATCAGAAACAGATTTTACCAGCAAAAAAGATGAGGTACTGAAGCGTCCATACATTTGGTAATAATAAGGAAAAAGCTTCAGTAGTGTTGCTACTTTTATTCAAAATTCTACAGCTGCACAAAATTTTTGTGATTCTACACAAGAATGAAAAAAGTACAAGATTTTCTACCAGAGACTCACAGCAATTTGTTTGAAAAATTATCGCTTCTTTGATGTTCCAAAAAAAAGAATTTTGAGAGAAAGAAGACAAAAAAATTATAGAATGTTGTGTAATAATGTGATACCACATACACGGAAAAGTGTTTACTAGGAATGAATTCATTACAATGTGCTAAAATACATATGTATATGTGAAAAGCTTTTGATGTACCATATATCCCATATAACAAAAAACTTCTAAAAAAGCTAAACGTAAGTCAAATATCACATCGTGTTCAAATAATCCATAATCCCAAAGATTTCCCACTGTCTTCCGTTTCGCGTTCACACACGTGGTGTTCAAATAAAAGAAAAAATTGATTTTTATTGATCTTTGAATTTATTAGGTTGGAAACTAAGTTTTGCAATTCATTTAGAGTTTTTCCTCTCTCTCTCAATATGGCGCATTCAAATTTTGCCATTGTGTAGGTAACGGCGCAAGCTACAAGCTCAGCTGCTGTCCTGCCAAGTTCTAACGTCGCAGGAAGGTTACGGTAGGTACATGGTATGAGAAGAAAATCATAAAATTTGACGGACTTGGCTGAAACTTGGCATAGAGGGGTTGTCCGACATGCTGATCACGAAAACGATACTCAAGTTGCATGGTAAGGGCTTTTTGTAATATCATTGTAAGTTTACGATATAGGGTCTCATCCCAAACCTACGGTGAGGTCTCGGTAAATTTTGAGGTTCTGAAACGTTAGTCATTGACGGATGTTCACAGCAGCCTTGCGTACCGCGACTCGTTCGACATTGTGACGTCTCTCGATGTGCAGCTGAATTTTATCTCTTTCTCACTGAACCGAATGACTCAACTTCTAGCAAGAATTCGTGTACCATCTCGAATTATTGCGCATGCTCTAGGCTGCTAATGGCTTCAGATTCGCTTATTAACCCCAAAAATTCTCAAAATGCACTACTTTTCGAGAAATGCCTGGAATTTTTTTGAATTTGTTTAACACATTCACGACAATACGACCCACCAGTGGGTCGTACGTGTCCTGCCATTTCGGACAATACGACCCACCGGTGGGTCGTATTGTCCGAAATGGATTTTGAATTTTTTGATTTTGCTTGTTCACGGTGAAACTTTTTTAGGCAACCCGAGTAAACTTCTGTATACACCTCTTGGTGTACTTCCCGAAAGATTAACACTTCAGACCACAGGACCCATCAGTGACCTGAAAATATTACGCAAACTCAATTTTGCGAAATATGCTCTGGTCCGAAATGGCAGTCATCGAAAAGTCGGCCCTGTCGTGAATGTGTTAAGCGCAGTTGAAGCGCACATTAAGCTCAACATAATGACAAAGTTTGAGTGCGCGCCATAGAAAGAAAATAGAGTTATGAAAGAAGTTGCAAAATTTAGTTTCCAGCCTAATGTGAGATTGCGAAGATTTGTTTTTACTCTTCGGCAGATAAAACCCGATTAAAAAAAGCAGACAGGCAATCGCTGCAAAGACTGCAAGAAGAGAGAAAGTGTAATGCAAAGCAAGTATGGAAAGAAAAAAAAATAAGAAAAATGACGAAAAAGTTACTGGAATTCTTGAAGCAATTTGCTAAGTGTAAGACTTCTAGTGTACAATGCGAGTCGCTTATCTTTGTCAAGGATCTCTGTTTATAGACACTCTGAAGGGACTATTATTCCGAAAATAATGTATGGCTGGCTCTATAAGGCTCCCTTTGACTACGATTTTCAGTCGACAGATTGGCGAAACAAGTAATACTGGAGCTAAAGCTGAAATAGCAGTGACTACATATGACAGTGATAAAGTGAAAATATTCGAATTTTTTCTGTAATGCTAAGCAATTTTTGCTCTCATAATTCATCGTGACAATTTCATCGTGTGTAAGCACAGAAGAAAATCTCAATCTCTACTCTGTTTACATAGTCCTTGAAATATGAATCCTCATACTCATATTTACACGGAAGATATCTGGTTGCTGGAAACTGATTCTATTGTAAGCAGGTGGAGACTTCTCTCGAGAGAGCCAGTACTTGGTACCGAATTATTCATGATGTCATGCATCTGAAGTCAGGTTATTGAAATCTGAAATCTAATCTGAGTTTATGTCAATTTCGTATTTGCAAAAAAATCATCACCTAGATTGTCTTTCACTTAGAAAAGCACTTGAAAGATAGAAAAAATAAGAAAGAAAAGGTCAATTGTTACAAAAAAGACGTCAAAATATCACTCATTCATCATTTTTAGAATCAAAGCAGACTGTTTCAATTACCTTTAACTTTTCATTTGCCTCGTATAGTTAGACGGTAGAAGTAAGAATGGCATGAGAATAAAATCTAAGAAGTGTGGGCTAAGATTGTTTTAAGATGGTCTTGCAACGAAAAAGTTTCAAAATGTTTGTTTTAAAAGAGTTCAGCATCTTAATTTATGTATCGTCAATCTTTGTCGTATTTTTCATTTTTGTTAATTTATACTCCTGGGCCCGTAGTAAACCCCTCGTGGTTGTCACAACATAGAGGGACTATGTCGTGATAGCTCGGAGTATCTCGCAAGACTATAGCGAGCTATCCGCAGGGCGCCGCAAAACGAGCGCCCCCGCGCGTCATTGAACCGCTGATGACCGCGATAACAGCGGTCACACGCGCTGCGCTATGAGTACAGATATGCCGTGGGGTATTTGCTTAGCAAGGCAAGAATGTAGTATACTATGCTTGCCAGAGCAGGTAAATCAATCAAAGGAAATCCAATAACTAACTATCCTCGTGTGTGCGCGCCTCTTTCTCCATATTTTGACTCACTATCTCATGTTCATCAATATTGATAGGAAAAAGTTGATCTATGTCTGTTGCAGAATTATGCTTATCTTTGTGCACCATGCTGTAAGAAGCGCCATTATCCGCTATGGCAGGACCATATTTGACTGTTGCCCTCAATAAAAATTGAGCGTGTCAGCCAGTGCCAGATTCGTGCCAGCTCCGTGCCAAGACACAGATGGCCTAGCAGCGCGCACATTCGCTGCGCTGTATGCTACTACGCCGTGCTTTGCTAGGGAGAGGATACATGTAGCAAATAGAGCAGTTGCAGCAAATCAGTATGGGAAAACGATATGCATGCCTTATCCGTAAGTATTGTTGAAGGGTTAGCTACTACTTTTGCAACTATTGTGAAACAGCTCAACAACTCAACATAGCTTGTAGTTAGCGCAGTGCCAGTATGAGAGGCCGGTGTGCTAGACGTTGGAGGTACAAGTTCCAGGCGACACTGTCTTTTTTGCTGGCAAACTGAATTTTGCAAAGGAACGTGATTTAGAATTTTCTTTTTGAAAGAAAATGGAATTTAAAGTAGAATACATATTGAAAGTGTACAAGAAAAATCAAAATATTATCATCATCATTCAGTCCCTTCAAAAATGGGCTATTCCATTAGCCATAACGCCAGACGGTCCTTTCTCATAAACACGAAAGGAAACGAGAGGTGCATGGCTAACGAACAGCAACCAGCAAAGATATGTGGTCGAAACTGCCAAGAATGATGAAAAGATCAAGAATTTGCGAAAGTTTGGCACAAAGAAGGGACTTTTTGCTCAAACAAGGTGCATAGCAAAAATAAAGAAGAAAAATTGCATAAGTACGAAAAATATGGCTAAGTATGAGTCTAACATACTTTTTAGTTAAAATAAACTCACCTTTTTTCAAATACCAAAGCGGCAGCAGCAGAAGTACTTGGAGAATAGGGAGAGGCGCATTGCTCGAACAGTTAGGCGCTTATCAGCTGTTGATATTGATTGCGGTTGATGTGCGTTATAGAGAACTGTGTGCATGTGCGACCTATTGTGAGGTTGGCGTAGTCGAGCTCTAGTCTTGCGCTATGTCTCTGCGTCTCTATGACGGACAAAGTATTTCGCCGTCTTGTTCGTCACGACATGTCGCAATATGTCGCTATATGTCGCGATATGTCGCGACATATCGCGACAAAGTGCGACTACCCTGACGCTACGCATCGATTGCATCCGCCGGCAATGATAAAGGATAGCCGCTTTGCCAGCCTCGCTCCATGGTAGTCAGCACATGTCACAGCATACTCCGAGCTATACGTCACGACGTCCGGGGGGTTTACTACAGGCCCTGAGGTAATGCAACTGTTATAACAGAGATTTCATTGATCGATCTCAAAAAATTGGAAGATTATCTATTAGCTGTTTGGACAGAGAAGCGATCAGCACGAAATTTTGAAAAGCAGAAATAAGAACTTTTAATATTTTACAGCAAAGAAAATAATTTGAGATTACATTTGTCGTTTGTGTCGCCGAAATTGTCAGTGCTGATTTATGCTTTAGAGACTAGATGGATTCCAAACATTAGACTCTATTCTCAGACAATCGCAAATGACTTTCGGGGGAGATTGAACTTCTAGAACTTCCGGGGAAAACGCTCCTATTGGAGCTGCCAAGTAGGGCGGGGCCAGGGTGGAGTCCACACGCATGGCCAATGGGAGCGTCCCTCGGAAGATTTAGAAATTCAATTTCTCCGAAAGTCATTTGCGATTGTCTGAGCTTTGCAAAAGTAGATTAAATCGTACGAATCAGAGATGAGGAGAGTGCGAGTATTTTGCGCAGGAATTATAGGCCACGGATTAACACCAAAACAACGGGGAAATCTAGCATTCTTGAAGGGTTTATCACTGTGGGGGGTCCTCAACGGTAGCGTTTAGCTAATCGTCAAAGGGCATTCGCTGCGAGACGACGCTAGTGGGTTGAGTCAAATAGACAAACAATGGTTTGTGCAAACTCAGCAGCACATCGGCTCGAGCCTGGTGCGGCCTACACCAGCGACTTCACATGGATGTGCTATGCTCTCCGCTCCAGAGCTAAATAGCTGAGGTTCTAATTCCGATAATGTTGCTTGGCTGTTTCTTCATTTCGGCAATCTTTTACTCAGTGGGAGCTTTCTGGACTCAGATAAAGGTAAAGATGCTTTTTATTCGCAAGTGTGACTAGGAAATTATCAGTTTGGCTAAAAAATAATTACGAAAATCTTTATAAAGACTTTCCTAGTTGCTCTTTATCCATCATATTTTGTCCATAAGTAATTCAAAGCTCCATCTATCACATATCAACTATTCAGAATCTTAAATTATCAGTGAAGAACAGTTATGCTCCGACGAGGCTAAAATTACAAAAGTTCAATTCTGCGATTTTATGTGATCTGCCGTAAAATTTTTTTGACTTAAATAACCAATTTTTCATATTTGTGCACATTGAGAAAGCTGGAGTTTCTCACTTCCTTGAAATTCTAGTCGAATAGATTCTATGCTCCAATTCTCATTGAAGAGTGCTGTTTCCAAATTTGGAAATATTAGGTTGGCTAATGAATAATTTAATGGTAATGAATAATGGTATCGAATACTGGATAAAAAATTGTCTGATCTGTAGGAACCACAAAACCGGCCGAAATTATTCATTAGCCAACCCAATATTTCCCAAATTTCTCTCATTAAGGTCTTTATAAAAGTTTTTTACTGTGTTGCAGTTTCTCTGAGTGTTCTTGCTGAAACACTCCACTCCACTGTAACTTAAGCTGTGAGAGACTTATGGACTTATTCCATAATATAAGACGACTTCATAAGTTACTAATAGTATTGCTTTTCATTTACTAAGTAGCTTGGATTACTATTATGCAAATCGAAGCAAGCATTGAGTGCTTTCGAACTTCCGTACAAAGTCTCATCCATGCGAAATCAAAGAAAATTGGAATCTTTACAAAAACCTGGAAAATTGGATCAAATGTTTGAAAAATCCAACTTGCTCACGCATATATTCTTTACGATAAATCTTCACCACTACATTTTTTTGCATTCTCTTGATACAAGAAAAAGCCAAAGTGGGAAACTGAGCTTCCACCTCCGGTAATCACCATTTTCGAGAAATTAATTGTACTGCCTATAGACTGTCAGCTTTGTCACGTACACAAAAGCTAAAAATAGGTCAGCATTAATAATAGTTATTCTAGGAGACTTGGTGCACTAAACTCATTCAGAATTTTTTCGAACCCTTCGCAAAAAATGAGCTGTCAAATGAGAAAAGTGAATTGGCCGTTTTTTCCTCCCAAAAAGCTTTTATTTCGTCCCAACAAAAAATGATTGATGTAACGTAATACACTTTTTATATCACGCCGTCAAGCTTACGTCTGATCATTGCAGCTGGATCCAGTTCTATGGGAAGAGCTTCCGCAAACAGAAGAAAACGAACGTATACTTTCGTGCCATAATTACGAACCGCAAACAAAACACCGGTACCATTGGCGATTCAACGGCTCAAGTGTTCTGCCAAAAGAAGTTGAAGTGCGAAGAGGAAAGCTTGTGTGAGTCGTATAGTCAAGATGTCTAGAGTTCGAAAAAGTTTCGTAGTCAAGTGTTTCGAAGAAGTAAGCGATTTTCGAGTGAATAGTCAAGGGTTTCTCAAAAGCTGAACATCTTGCATTCTTGTCTTGCTTAAAATGACTTACTTCCGTTCTAATCTCCGCCAGATAGAAAAAGTCAAGGTCCCTGCTTTTTTGATTATCTATAGAATTTGAAGATCGTTTCCACTTGAGAAGAGGCAAAGAAAAAAGAAACCGAACTGCTACTAGAGCACTTCGCGGGACCGCGGTTTGGCGCGACAGGACCTGCGGCGACTTCTAATGGTATTACTGCCGCATATGCGACATGATTCGACAAGTCAGATAGGGTAGCCACTGGATACTGTCATGCGAAACGGCCGTCTTCCAGATAAGAGATCCAAAATCATTCATTTTTCTACTCTATACAGTAAAGCATGCTACAAATGCAGTGAAAGACAGTTACGGTTATGACAACAGAATTCAAAAAAATCTCGGCGAAATCGGCGAATTTGTCGAGGTTTTTGATTCTATTGTCATAACCGTAGGTTTGGACCAAGATTTTGTTGATGAGTTCAAATTGTAGTTATATTAGGTTGGAAGGGAAGGTCTGCCTACCAGTTTCAAATGTCATAACTTTTTTATTTTTCAAGGAACCCCTTGCTGTTGGTTTGGCCTGAAAGTGAAAGTCGTGTTCTTCAAAATAGTGTTATAGCGGCTTTCAATTATGCATATATTATGGAAGGCTGTGGAATAAAATCACCCAAATTTCGATTTTTCTGGGTTTGGTCGTAAAAAATTATAAATCATTCAATTGATTTACTAAGAATCTGAGCAGTCGGTATTATAGTTATCATTTGCATTTTCTGACCGAGAAAACTTTGCGGGGATTGATTTTCTATATGAAGGGTAATGATTTTCGAGTATAGCCAAAAAATTCAAATCTAGTGTTTGTATTATCTGCTAAACAGTCATAACCTTTCATAGAGACACCAATACGCGCAAATTTGCATACAGTTATTTAAATAGAGCAATTAGTAAAATCCATATGCTGGCTGCTCGGATTTTTGTCGCGAAAGATTTTTTTACGATCAAACTCGGTAAATTCGTAAATTGAGTAATTTTACAGCCTCTAGTCCTGCAATCTGTATATGATAGAGAGCCAGTGAAACACCGTGAAGAGCATGACCTTTCCTTCTGAACAAAATCAACAACAAGCGATTCCATTCAAAAAAGTTATGAATTTCAAAAATTACGACAAATTAAGCATCCGTCTCTTCGAGAAAACATTTCTATATAAATGAGAAATTTTCACATGACAAGTTTCAATTACATAGATAATCTTTTGCAGATTATGTCAATTCACAAACACATATATCTAAAAATTACTAACTTCAAATTTAGCTTCAACCGTAAGTTACATGCCTATCGCAACCTGGTAGTTGGAGAATACAGCTGTTGCATCCACGAGTCATTGGGGAAGGCGTGCTATACCCAGCAGTTGCTGATAAGAGGTAAATATTATTTTTTGTTTCCAGTGTCTATTTCAATCGCCTCAGAGAGTACTCATTGATATTAGATAAAAATTCAAAATGTCAATTAACAAATATTGTCAATCAAATTAGTTGAAACTAGGACTACTAAGTCATCCTCGTGTTTGATTTTCTACACTATTCTATATTGGCTGAGATCGCAACATTCAAAAAAATTGGCGAAAAAATCACTCAAATTTTGATTTTCCCTTGTGGTTATGAAAATCTGAAACTTGCATTAAAAATCGGAGTAGTCAGTATAGGTCTTTTGATCTGCTTTTTGTAAGCGAGCAAAGTTTGATTCTGCATGGAGTTATGATTTTTGAGCAAGCAGTACAGAAACGCAGATTTGATTTTATCAAATCATAATGTCATTCCTTCTCAAAAATGTAACTTTCTATAGAGACATTATCAGCTATTAGGTATTATCAGCTCAGACTTTGCTGAGTTAGTAAAAGCAGGTCAAGAAACCCGCTCCGATTTTTATTAGAATTTCCAGATTTTGCAAAAAAAAATGTACGGTCGCTCAGTATTGTGAACTACGCAGGATTATCGCGCTGATTGGTTTGCAGGCGCAGAGTAGTTTAAGATACCTCAAACTTGGGTGTTTACACCTCTATATGCCCAACGTCGGAGCTCTTTACTCTTACGTTGCGTGCTTTGCTCGTTCCACAGGGCGCGCAGATTGATACGAATGGAGTTCCATACAAAATTTATAAAAATCAAAATTTAAGGGATTTCTTCTACCGCTCCTAAGTACGCACTGTGTTGGTAGCCCTATGGCCGCGACGTATATCACGCGAGTAGTGTTCCCTCCTACAGCGTGTATTAACTGCAGCGCCCGGGGCTCGCCAGAGTGGCTCTGTCGGGCCGCCGCTTCAAGGGCCGGGGCTTGCCCTGCAACCAAATATGCGGTGCATCCAGTGAGGCCCAGGGCTTGCCCGAAGATTTTTTCTTGGGCCGCGGGTGTTCCGAAATCATTTGAGATCCGCGGCCTTTCTCTAGCGATAACATTGGGCCACGGTTCGCTAAGCGAATAAATCTAGGGCCGCGGATGGTCAGTCCAAGAATTTAGTGCCGCGCACCGCCAAAAGGCACTGTTGAGGGCCGCGGGTGCTCGCAATAATTGTCTGAGCATATGCGATCATAAAGCGCATGTTTTTTTTTCAAAAAAAAATTTAATGCATGCAATTTAGTCAAGAAATCAAGAAGCTATGAATTTCTGAAAATGGTACGACAGAAGTTTTGTTCCAACCTCATACCCTATTTCACGCGTACAAAAGGTATTTTTTACCATAGTCGACCAGCCCAAACACGCCAAAGAATTTCGAGGTCAAAGGACTATACCGTGGTCCGTATTGCCTAAGAGAACCGTGCGGCATAAGTATTGGTTTTCGAAAAGTGAAGCGGATGAGCGGCTTGCTTGAAAAATCGAAAGATGCGCCTTGTACTCGTGAAATTAGGGTACTTATAAGCAACAAAATTTTTCGAAAAATTTTTCGAAAGGTTCCACTCAATTTATTTTAGCTAATAAAGTATAGCCTGTCCTTAACGCAAAATGTGGCTGTGTAAGGCAGACCGTCTAACTCCGTCACCGTTTATGCCGAACCCTTTAACAATTATGCAGTTAGCCAGGAGGAATGCTCTTGTAAAGACCGCGTTTTGATTTTGCGAATTAGGCTAGACCTTTCTTCGCTTTAAAGATCAAACTGGTACCAGTGTAGCTTCTCCAAAATTATTACTGTACAGACTTTCAAAGTTGGCATTCATTGGCAAAGGGTCGTGGTGTTCGCGAATAGAAGGAGTGGAATTTTGTCTTGAAAAAGTTTGAAAATTTTGGGAATTATACCATTGAGGTAAGTTAGGATACGGAGAATCACAGAACACGTAAATTCACTTGATGCTTATCTCAGTTCAAAAACACAACTTATATAGATAAATGAGCTTGTTTTAATTTCTGAAAACCCATTATCTTCTCTGTTCTTCAGTTAATCCCCAGTAACTGTGGTGGCATCTACAAGCACAGAAGCTTATGTATGCTCCATAGCAATTTGTATCACTCTGGAGAAAATGAAGCTCCCACACGACTGTATAGCATTGCTATGGCAAATGCAGAAGTTCTTTCGCATGGCTTTTATACATTTATGATTCGCAATCCATTAGGAGGAGAAGGGGGAGAGAGGTGAGGGAAAGTTGTGCAGAGTCAGTTGTGGTATTGGATGTGGTCATAACTACAGAACTTATTTCTATTATAGAAAAAGTATACGTTTTTGCAGTTCCAGATTTTTAGGTTTAGACCAGTAGCTTTCAGATCCTCCACAACATGTCGGAATAGACTTATCCAAAGCACAAAAACTTCATGCGAAGCTGGGTGACTCTTACGATATTCGCCTCAGTGATACCAAGGATTACGACGAAGTGCATTGTAAATTCAACAATCAAACGATACCTAGTAATGTCCAATACTTTGTGAGTGATTCTTTTCGCTATAGAATATGATTTGATATGTGTTTGTAGAAATCAAAGGATAAGCGAGGCAAGTATTATCAAATACGAATCCGGCACTTTATGCAGGAGAATGTTGGCCAATATGCATGTTTGCTAAAACTGAAGGAAAAGGTACATCATTGCAGACTGTAAATAAACTTCTAATTCAATTTCTTTTTCTAGGAAATAGTTTCGAAGGAATTTGCAGCCACTCTCGAGCCAGATCCTGTTTCTTCTTCTTCTAGTTTTTTGTCATCTATTTACTACGCTTTGTTATTGTTTGCGTTTGCATGCATGTACATTACTGTGTAAAAACATCGTAAAAACTCCTTGTTACTCAGAATTCAAATTTTCCACATTCTTTCTAATGTGCAGAATTGAGCTTGAGTTTTTGAAAAATGCAGAAGTCGTTTTGTTGTGTAGAAGCAAAGCTATAGTATGCTTTGAGGATGTTTGTCGCGGCCCTTCAGCCGAGAATGTCCATCCAGGGCCCGGCGCGAGGTTGTCAAACGACAAGCTGGAAATCGTTTTCGGCAAAAAAGCAAAGGGGGAAATCGTTTTTGAGGGGTCCGGGGCGGAGACCCGGAAAAAAATTGGTAGTTCATGCTCGCTGCTTATCTTAACATGTAATGTGCCTCAACAGGCGAACATTGGAGTTCGCGCGCATCAAACCGCGCCGTCGCTAAATGCCGCACGCGCGACGTCGCTCAAGCGATGCTATTGCCGCACGCGCGACGTTGCTCAAGCGAAGCATACATGACTAGTTCTCAATGTATGAGTAACGATATGGCACCAAATTTTGTAGGCGAACGGAGAGAGGCTAGTGGAAACAGACTATGAAAAATTATGAAAAACTTATGTGAACGGAATGAGTAATAAGCATTTCTTTCGAGAATTTCGCACAATTGGTAAATGAAGATGTGAATTCAAACGGCTCGTTTGGAACGCGCAGATGACGATATGGTATGAAACTTGGTAAATGCATGCACAAGGGCTTGCAGGGCTTAACTGAGGAGTATCATTGAAAAATTATGTGACTGAAGGTTGTGGCAGACTTTTTTCTGAAAATTTTCCGCTATCAAAGAAACGGAAAAATGGCTCGTTTGCAACGCAGAGGCGACGAAATCGCGCGGGATTTAGTGTGTATATGCGCAGTAGGACTAAGTAACAAACTGTGAAATATTCTGAAAAACTTATGTGAATGAAGAGCGTGCCCAACTTATTTCCAAATTAGCTTATCATTTGACAAGCTAATGACAAGCTGAGCTTGTCAAAACTCTCAATTCACATAATTTTTTCAAAATTTTTACATAAATCTACTCTACGCCTAAAGATTAGTACATACTAGCTGGCTTGCCCGGCTCCGCCGGGCCTGCCAGCTAGACCCGTGTACGTATGTTCCAAATAGAAAATTCCATTTCTGAACCGATCCGGACCAAACTTTGCACACATACACTTCGGGCCCCGGCGGGTGTCACAGTCCACTTTTCGTTATCGATCGATGTCGATTATACCGATTTTTATCGATCTTTTTTGCAGAGTTCACCTACAGGGCTAGGAGTTGGCACAGGGGGGAAGTGAGCATGGGGATTCCGAACACAATATTAGTTTTCAGAATTATCGATTACTTTTATTGATTTTATCGATTTTTTTGTAAATTTTGACCTGCGGGGCTGGGAGTTTGCACAGGGGGGTAATCGAGCATGCTGATTACGAACACAATATTAGTTTTCAGGATCGTCCATTACTTTTATCGATTTTATCGATTTTTTTTGTAAAGTTTGACCTGCGGGGCTGGGAGTTTGCACAGGGGAGTAATCGAGCATGCAGATTACGAATACAATATTAGTTTTCAAGATCGTCCATTACTTTTATCGATTTTATCGATTTTTTGAAAATTTGAGCTAGGGGGCTGGAATTTGGCACAGGGGTGTAATCGAGCATGCTGATCACCCCCCTTGGGGATGATCAGCATGCTCGATTACCCCCCTGCGCCAACTCCCAGCCCCCTAGCTCAAACTTTGCAAAAAAATCGATAAAATCGATAAAAGTAACCGATAATCCCGAAAACCAATATTGTATTCGGAATCCCCATGCTCGACTACCCCCCTGTGCGAACTCTCAGCCCCGTAGCTCAAACTTTGCAAAAAAATCGATAAAATCGATAAAAGTAATCGATAATCCTGAAAACCAATATTGTATTCGGAATCCCCATGCTCGATTACCCCCCTGTGCCAACTCCCACCCCCGTAGCTCAAACTTTGCAAAAAAATCGATAAAATCGATAAAAGTAATCGATAATCCTGAAAACCAATATTGTATTCGGAATCCCCATGCTCGATTACCCCCCTGTGCCAACTCCCAGCCCCGTAGGTGAACTCAGCAAAAAAATCGATAAAAATCGATAAAATCGATATCGATCGATGACGAAAAGTAGCCTATGACACTCGCCGGGGCCCAAAGTGTATGTGTGCCAAGTTTGGTCCCGATCGGTTCAGAAATGGAATTTTCTATTCGGAACATACGTACATACAGACATACAGACAGACATACAGACAGACATACAGACATACAAACAGACATTCAGCTTTATATATAAGATTGAAAATTTGGTTCCAAACCTCCTCTCCTCATTGCTAGAGGCAAAAATAGCCTCAGCAGCTCCGTTTCCTAAGGAGGAAAGCGCGCTCCAATCGAACGGCGTATCGCTGAGTCCTTTATCCGGCGTCTATATTTCCTCACTTATTTACCTATTGCTGCTTTTTACGCTGTCTCCACCTTTTCACCCTTCTTTGCTTTCACTGCTATTCTTGTGATTTTACCGGTGTTTTTACAGAATGGGTCGCCGACCGTGCTACCGATATATCAAGAATAATCTGTATCCAAAATCGCGTTTCTGTCGCGGTGTCCCCGATTCGAAGATCCATATTTTTGATCTTGGCAAAAAGAAAGCCAATGTAGATGAGGTCCCATGTTGTGCTCATATGATGTCCTACAAACGGGAACATCTTTCATCGGAAGCTCTTGAAGCTGCTCGTATCTGCGCCAACAAAAACATGGTGAAAAACTGCGGAAAGTAATAGTGTTTGAACTTTTATATAAGTCGAATATGCTTGAATCCAAACCAAGGACTTCAATCTAAACTTTTCATGCTGGAATTTTTTCAAACTTTGCGAACGAGTAAATTGCCAACGTTCCTCAGCATTTTCTCTCTTTCGACCTCTTAACTTATCTAGGTGGCTTTGACTACGGGCCTAACGCGGGTGTTTTTTCGTTTTCTTAGAATGCTCCCTTGCAAGAAGTTTATCTCAACTATCTTTGGTAGCCATTCCATGCTTTTGTAGTAAATTGTCACACAACTAGGTATATATTTTTGTTACTAGAAAGTCTACTCGGAAATCTCCACAAAAGTTCACTGCCCGCTAATTCACTTATGATTGTGGACCTGAAGTTTTTGTTTGTATGTATCGAGAGGTGGTCTTCTTTCCCATTCAGGTGTTCCATCTTATATATAAAGCTGAATGTCTGTTTGTCTGTATGTCTGTCTGTATGTCTGTCTGTGTGTACGTATGTTCCGAATAGAAAATTCCATTTCTGAACCGATCCGGACCAAACTTGGCACACATACACTTCAGGCCGCGGCGCGTGTCATAGGCTACTTTTCGTCATCGATCGATATCGATTTTATCGATTTTTATCGATTTTTTGCTGAGTTCACCTACGGGGCTGGGAGTTGGCACAGGGGGGTAATCGAGCATGGGGATTCCGAATACAATATTGGTTTTCAGGATTATCGATTACTTTTATCGATTTTATCGATTTTTTTGCAAAGTTTGAGCTAGGGGGCTGGGAGTTGGCACAGGGGGGTAATCGAGCATGCTGATCATCCCCAAGGGGGGTGATCAGCATGCTTGATTACACCCCTGTGCAAACTCCCAGCCCCGCAGGTCAAACTTTACAAAAGAAATCGATAAAATCGATAAAAGTCATGGACGATCCTGAAAACTAATATTGTGTTCGTAATCAGCATGCTCGATTACCCCCCTGTGCAAAATCCCAGCCTCGCATGTCAAAATTTACAAAAAATCGATAAAATCAATAAAAGTAACCGATAATTCTGAAAACTAATATTGTATTCGGAATCCCCATGCTCACTTCCCCCCCCCCCCCTTTGCCAACTCCTAGCCCTGTAGGTGAACTCTGCGAAAAAATCGATAAAAATCGGTAAAATCGACATCGATCGATAACGAAAAGTGGACTGTGACACCCGCCGGGGCCCGAAGTGTATGTGTGCCAAGTTTGGTCCGGATACGACGGAGCCGGGTAAGCCAGCTAGTCTATTCTATATTTTTTATCATCATTTCTTGCTGTTTTCAACACCTAATAACGTAGAATATCGGTTTCTTACATTGATGTTCTTTCTTTCGAATGTTCGTTCATTCACAATTTTTCATTGCTTTACCGCTTTGTCGTCGGTTGTGCATCGCTCGGATTTACACGGACGTGCGTTCATAATTCATTGTCGGAGCGTGAAATTCAGGCATAAATGTCTATTATTTGAGCCACATAGGCTAACCAGTGAAGATCTCGATCGATGACAGACTATCAAGGTCAAGGAGCGAGCTGGTAAGGATGTCGTTGAGCTATCGGAAACAAGTTGACAATGAAAGGCTAGAGATTGTACATGATTGATATTTTTCTATAAACTTTTTCATGAAATTTCTTGTACGACCTTTTTCTGATAGCAAGCTTTTGTGCAGCCAACTCCGTTTCTTGATGCTAAGGGTCAAAGAGCCTTGTATAGGCCTGTAGTTTTGGCTTTTGCTTGGGTATTTACCGACGAATCTGGTTACTTTGTTGCGTGCTCACGATGAGTGAATTCAGGATCCGCGTCTCGTTTGCTATACTCTTTTCTGTTTTTCTTCAATAAAAATTGTTCTTTGGATAAAGTGTTTACTGCGCAGTCACTGGGATCAGTTTTTGGGTCAAAGGGGAATTCGTTTTCGAAAACCCCTTTTGACAACCTCGTGCCGGGTCCTGTGTGTCCATCATAATCCTCTGATTTTGGCAGCGTCTCTATGCAATGGAATCAAATTGAAACTGTGGAGCTTCAAGTAGAGAAGCCTCTATAGCAAACAGTTTCAACTACATTGAAACTGTTTGCTATTTTGTTTACTTTATTTGTTTTTGCTAATACACTTCATTTTCAATATAGATCTGTGCTGAATCAAATGAGGTGGATTAACAAAAAATGGTGGATGCTTTGTGCAGTTGCGACTATGGAATACGAACGTTCTCGCGGGATTTTTCGG